AAAATAGTCAGATCGAGAGATCTATGAAAATCTTGATAATTGATGGTCCAAAAATGCATTACAACATACACTATTTCCAAAATTTGAAATGCATTTTTTTTCTCATGTCCATGCATCTTGATGCATCAATTTGAGGATATTTAAGCATCAAAACAACCTTTTCTAGTGAACTTTTTTATGTTGGCTATAATGTGATTGTTTAGGGCCTCGGCTCTATATAAAATTTTCCCTTATATAATTATTATAGTTACAATATATAGTTCTTACATATTAATATAATTAATATGTTAATTATATTTTAATATCTATTAATATAGTATATATTATTTGTATTCATATATATTTGTTATTATAAATTAATTATTATAATCATTAAAGCTCTAGGGTTTGAAAGGTCGTTTTTTTATTTTTTTTGGAAACCTCAACCCACTCTATAAAATATAAATCACGGCAGGTTTTTGGGGGCCGATGCTGTCATGAAATACTTAAAACATGAAAATCAATGTCCATGCCAAACTCGGACTCCCGTCCTTAGTGGAATTGATATTTCTACAAAAAAAAAAAACCTTAAAACGTAGAAATCAAGTACTATGCAAAAATAAGATTCTCACCCTAACTAGACATCGAAACAGCATTTTCATGCCGTTTTCATGAAAATGATACATACCTATTTCTATCTCCATGGAGCTAAATAGGCTCATGAGGGGCCAGGAGTCATTTTCTTAATACTTTTCCCACCCTTTTTTTAATAATTTATACAGCCACATGTGTGATCTTTTGACGCCATTGGTTGTGTAGATTTCATTTATCTGATCTTGGGAATTGATGCTGAAAGTGTTCAAAAAAGACAAATAAGACAGGTGAAAGTATTATTGATGAGTTTATTTAGTAGTTCAAATAAATCTTGACTATGGGATGTGCAATTGGGTGGCTGCTTTTATTTTATTAACCAAATACAAAGTTGAAAAGTATTTTTTTCCATTTTTATGACGCACACAAGCTATCATCGGAGGGTTGTAAGTAATTGTGAGCTATTCTAAAAGTAAAAACTCTCATTGTATACAATCCTACAAAAAGAGAGCGCTGACTCCACATATCCATTTCCGCTATTAAAAACAAAAATAAATTAAAAATTATTAAAAAGTTTTAAAGATAATATTGAATTACTGAATTATTTAAAAAAGGATGTGGTTTCTATGCACCGAAGCCCGCACTTATAATAGTGCGGTCGTGAGATCTACATCCTCCATTTAAAGGCCGTTATTTTAACCATGAACTCACTAGGCCATGTTTGTGAACCTTATTCTCATTCTCCGTAGGAAGAAAAACATTCTTAGATGCTTAATTGTTCATTATGTAGTGTACTATTGTCTTTCTAAACAAAAGTGTATTATTATCTCTCATATGATTGGTTTATTGCTTTGTGGAAGTTTAACTTTAAGTACACAATAAGTTCATTTATTTTGGTACAGAGATCACAAACTTTGGTTGCTCGGTAAATTTGAGATGGGTGGCTACGGTATATGCCATTGACCAAATTCAAATAAAATTTTTTGAATTTTATGATCAGCCAAACTATTGGATTTGACATCTGAAGGTTAAAAGTGATTGTGACCTCTGTGAGAAAGGTAAATGATCTTATACAAACCCTTTATTTTAACATTAAATTTTGAGTGAACAAATATATTTGATGCCCATTTTTATTCTCTCCCTATCTCTCTCTCAATTTTTAAAACCCGAATTGCTGGAGTAGATGGTTTAGCCACAGATTTGTCAGATCATTGGATTGGTGATATAGATCGTTTTGAATCAATGATCCAGAAAAATAATACTAATAATAATGAAAATAAAATAGGGTTTACAAGGCATAGATTTAGAGGAGACTTGAGAATATATTAGATATTTAAAAAAGAAAAAAATAATTGGGCGGCAAGATACCCGCGTGGGGGAGGGTTCTGGCTAGTCCCATGCCATCTCAGAAATAGTTCGGTCCCGACCGATGGGACACAGATTGGAAATCTTCGGGTTTTAAAAATGTAGAGAAAAAATAGACTTGAAAAAATTCAATTTACAGTATGGGATACTTTCAAAATCTAATAATGGAGGAAAACTTGGGGAAGCTTGGCAAGCCGAGTTATGCGCTTGAGTCCGAGTGGACTCGACTGAGTCAGGATACGATACACTGCTTCTACTAATATATGTACTTTTGGCATAGTGATAGACCGGTGTGCAAAAGCTTGACTTGGTTTCAGAACTTGGCCCTTGCCCAATCAGGGTAACACAAGTGAGTCCAAATGGACTTTTCCCGAGTCATGCATGAACCTCAACCGGCTAAAAATTGAAAAAAAATAAAATACAAAGAAATTTGTTAAAAATAATTTAAAATCAGTAAAGAGTTAATTTATTGTATTAAAAACATAGTCTGCTTGGCACCTAGGCTCCCAAAACACCTCTGACAGTACGCCTAGACCTGGGCGGATGTACTTGTGTGGCCACCTAGGCGAGCTAGCGCAGGTGGCCAAGGATCTGGACCTTTTTTCAATTTTAAATATGCTCAAAAGGAAAAAAAAGGTAATTTTGACCCCAAAAATGATTAAATAGGTTATAGGGGTTATTTTCAACCCCAATGACCTAAGTTTGTATATAAAAAAGTATATTTTTAAATGCAATAAATTACCAAATTGACACAATTAGCATATATATGCGTTTGGATAACACACATGTGCATATTTTAAAACTTTATACTACATGGTGCATAAGGCACTAGGCGTTGGGTGCTAGGCCCAGGCCGACCACCTAGGGGCAGCCTAGCGTTTTTGAAACTTTGATTGTATATATGATGGAAAAAAGTATATAGCTATGAAAAACCTTTATATATAGCCCTGAACAAATTAGAAAAATAGAGCACATTGTAATCATCATCAATATAATCAACTAAGCTTTATCCCAATTATTTGTGGTCGGCAAAGCATATAATAAAAAAATTCACAAATTATCGTCAAAAAGATCAATAACGTACTTATATGTAAAACATACTTAATACATAATTCCTTTTAGTGATTTAGTACAATATAGGAAAGCACGACTTTTCCTTGGAACCCGACCCGAGGCCGAGCTGAGTAACTTGGCCTAAGTTGGGAAGGTTCTAGCCAGGTCAAAAAGCATTAAAAAAATAAAACAAATACAAAAAAAATCCCAAAAATTTTGAAAAATATGTTTAAAGTAAAATAAAATTACGAAACATCTAAATGAGGTTAAAAAAAGTAGTGCAAAATGGACTTTGAAATAATGAATTTGTGACAAGGGATATTTTCAAAAAAAAATTCAAAAAGAAACAAAAATATAAAAATAAGTTTTCATGGCCAAAGCACTTCCCAATATTTGCCAAATTGATAAAAAAAAACATAAAAACAAAGCATATTACAAATTTTGTTATTTTTTTTTCATAATTTTTTGAAATTTTTTTTAAGATCCTCAGCTTGACCACCAAACTCAAGAGACTCGGGCTCATCAAGATGGCGAGCCCATGTTACGTGAGCAAGTCTAGGTTGGCTCGCCCAAATAGTCGAACGCTTATTTAGTAAAACGTATATAGTTTTTTATATTTTCTTTGTATATGCGATTTTGTGGACAAAACTAGTGTTACATGAACACCAGTACGGATATAGGTGTAAACGAGTGTCCCAAGTGTATAACACGTTGGTCTCGATACAGCTAGACACATCCCTACATTCTTTTTATAAATAAATGATTATATATTCTGTAATAGTATATATAATCTTCCTTATATTATGATTCTTACGTGGGTGCAACGATGGTAGCATGAGTGTTGTAGCTTCAAAATGGTCCAGGATTTTGAGCCCTCCCATGCACTCCTACCTGAGTATTTTCACATTTTGTAATATATCCAGTGCCATCGCGTGTTAATAGACGTCAACATTTTTTTTCGGGTATGGGCCGCATGTTGCAGTAACACTGCACAGAACTCGCTTTGGGTTGATGTCAATGTTTTGACACTTCTCGAATGCAATACCGGGCCATGGGCCACATGTTGCAGTAACACTGCACAGAACTCGCCTTGGCAGGGCGCCAAGGACGAGGCCAAGTCGACTCTGCCATGTTCTAAAATGCTGGTTTCAAGATTGGCGTTTTCTTTAATTGGTTTCAGTCTGAGTGTGCTATAAGTATTTTCACATTTTTTTAATATATCCAGTGGCGTCTCGTGTTAATAGATGTCAACATTTTGACACTTATCGAATCTGACACAGGGCCATGGGCCACATGTTGCAGTAACACTGCACAGAACTCGCCTTGGCAGGGTACCAAGGATGAGTCCAAGTCGACTCGGCCAAGTTCTAAAATGCAGGTTTCAAGATAGGCGTTTTCTTAAATTGGTTTTAGTCTGAGTGTGCTATCAGGGGCCCCATATGGTTGAACAGTTTGCTCTGTGGCAGACTCTTCTATGCCCAGCAAGCAATGAATGCTTCAGAATAACATTTGCAGAACTTGCAATCCTTTATTATCCTGCATGAAATTTCATGTTGTATATGAATGGTAGCTCCTCATAACCATTGTTTCCTAATAATGGATTTCTACTAATCGGTTATTTTGTAGAAAATCTTCATTATTGGTGAAATTTAAGCCTGCAAAAGAGGATTCATTTAATCATTTAGATTCCTTGGTGTGGATTATATTTTTTATCTTTCTAAGTAATTTGTACCATCCCTGTACCTTTCTTTTTTTGTTTGAACTTGAGTTATTAATGATATTCGAGAGTTAAATTCCTCGGTTGAGAATGTAAATGCCTTTATTCTTGAATTCATATATACCATGGTAGGTACATTGAAGAGCTTGAAAACAATCCCGACCTTGATCGGAATGAAACTCTGGGACATTTCATCAAGTCACATGGTTATTCTCGATTATTTCAGGATGCATATCTGGTATGTTCTTTTTATATACATCTGTGGCTTACATCATTTGACTTCTTTGCATTTCTCTCTACTTGATGAATGTCAATATCTTTATGATTCTTTAACGATAGTTTTTTTTTTACACCAGTGTTTCTTCTCTATAGCTGAATTAATTTGATAAAATCACTGCAGGTTCCAGTCTGTGCTTCAATATGGTCCTGTTCTTCAGAAACAGTAATGACATTTTCAGCCTTTTCAGTGCTTTCATTTTGTCGTAACCATCACCTTCTTCAGGTAAATCAGCACTAGACCAAAAAGTTTACTGGCTTATTTTTGCCTTCCTTTGATGGTTTATTTATACCTACAATCTTGGTAACTGTCAAGTAAGAAAGGTAATTATCTTGCTTTCTCGTGTAGTATCTGATTGTTCTTCCAACATCAAATAATACATTTTCTCAATTTGTTCTACTTTAATGGATATTATTTTTTATGCTTGAGTAAATGGCACGACTTCATAGTGTTTGAAATTTTTTGTAGCTCTTTGGCAGACCACAGTGGCTTACTGTTAAGTGTCGGTCACACACTTATGTTAAAAGGGTATGATTTCCGTCGTCATTTAAGGTGCATTCTAAGGAATTACAAAAACTACAAATTATTGCATCTTCACTAAAAAAATTTCTAAGAAATACAGAAGCAAGCTACAACTTCTTGTTGAAAGAATAAAGCGGTTGTGATTTTGAATGGTACCACAGGTCAAAGAAGAGCTTGAGAGACATGGTTGTGAGATAAGAACCAGTTGTCCTTTACAGTCTATTTCACCAACTGAAGGAGGTAACTGGTTTCTTCTTTGGTATTGTTAGTGATTTGCTGATACATGGAAAAATTGTCTTCTTCTACCTTGGAATGGTGATCGAAAGGTTAGAGCAAAAGAAACTGATGCAATAAGTAAACAGTTATGTATTGATATTACTCTCTATGAAAAGTTGCATGATTTTGATAACTCTATCGTAATACAATGTCTTCAACTTTTCGTTGGCTTGGATTTCTCAACTTTAAGTTTTGGAAAGTTCAAGCAATAAGCACAATAAAGCCAAGAAATTGTAAAACCATAAAAAGTAGTTATTTTAATTAATTTTTTACAGAAAAGTAATGATGCATTGAATATATCTGCATAAAAGTTTGTTATATTACAGAATTCTATATTAAAACAAAATTTCATGTTTTCTCCTTATATTAGTTGGCTCGTTATGACATTGAAGGTAATGAGTTAGCACCTCTTTGATATCTAACCATGTGAGTACTAAACATTCTGCTTTAAGCTAGTGCTCAAATATGAATCATGCAAAACTTGCTTTTGAAGTTTTATTTTGTTGCATGAATTTTCCGTGGCATACTGTAAATTTGTTGCTACATTAATCTAACCACAGATTTCATTACAGGTTGGTCTGTATTTGATGCTTGTGGTGCAAAGGATGACTATGATGGATGCATATTAGGTGTTCATGCACCTGATGCTTTAGAGATACTTGGACAACATGCAACATTTGAGGAGTCCAGAGTTCTTGGCGCCTTTCAATATGTTTACAGGTATTTTCTAATCCATCAAGTTGGATGGATTACAAAATAATATGCTCAAATTTTATTTTCTAATCCATCAAGTTGTATTTACTTTTCTTCTTTGCATTTTTGTATGTTGCCATTTCATGATTTATAACTTTGTTTACGAAAAGAAAATGAACATAATTCCGTTTATTATGAACCCTTTAAAGTCAAGTGTTCATGTGTGGCTTGCCTTTGAAATAAGTGTTATGCGTTAAGGATATCATTACTTTATCGTGCTGTTATGACATTGTTAGTAACTATATTATTGTCAATTTTCTGCATAAGCTTAAACTTGTGGCATTCTGAATCTCTGATAAATGTATCCAAAGAAGTAAAGACGTGAGTAATCAAGCTTATAATCAACTGAAGATGCGAGTGATTGAATGAGATGGTAGTATGCAATTAGAAAATGTCATTACGACAATCTGTTCTGCAGTATCTCTATGTTATGTTTTGGGACTCTATTCTTTAGGAGTTATTCAGTTAATTTCAAAGTTAAAAACCTCAGATCCTGAGTTGTGTCAACTTGGTAGGACTTTGTTAGACTCAGCCATTTTCCTGATGGATAAAAAAGAGATTGGTATAGCTTTGCATGTCTTTTGAACTGGGCTACTGCACAAGCCAACTTGGGCCAGTCAATTCTATAGATGAGTTGTTTCTGACTTGAATATTTCAATATTGCTAATACTGTTCAATATATTTTATACTGGTGGTATGCTTATTTATGAAATCACCTTTCATAAACTAAAGTTATTGTATTATTTATGATTCCACTTCTCATTGTGAACCTCTGATTTCATTCCCAACAGTGATGTATATCTTCACCGTGACAAAAGCTTAATGCCCCAAAACCCTGCAGCCTGGAGTGCATGGAATTTTCTTGGAACCAAAGGCAATAGAGTATGCCTGACTTACTGGCTTAATGTGCTTCAGGTTTATATAATGCTCCCCCTATGCATATTCTAAGTTCTAGAATTTCCTTATGAGTGGCATACTCATTTCGAAATATTTAGCCTCATGTGAATGGAAAATTTGTCAGATGAATTTGAATCAGTGTTCCTAGCTCAAGTGAATGCCCTCAGCATTCCTTACTTTTTCAGAAAGAGAAAATTGGTTATTTCCTGCATATTTATTAAATTCAAAATTTTGATGAAATTGCAGAATCTTGGTGATACCAGCCTTCCATTTCTGGTATCTCTTAATCCAACCAGTCTACCTCAGCATAATGCACTTAAATGGTCAACAAGCCATCCTGTACCATCAGTTGCTGCATCAAAGGCTATCTGTGAACTCGATAAAATTCAAGGAAACAGAGGAATTTGGTTTTGTGGGGCTTACCAAGGTCGAGTCTATGTACCTCTTTAAAAAAATAGAAACTCATAGTTATATGTAGTTCTCTAAGTACGAATGCGTGAAGAGTGATTTTATATGGAAACCTAGGAGAAACGGTTTTTTTTTAAAATTGAAGTATAAGTGTATATGAAGTTATAAATCATTTTCTGATAGATATATCAATTATGACGTAGTGTGATGTCCATAAGAAATAATGTGCATGCGACCAAGTTGAAATTCAAAAATTTATTTATTGATTTCTGTAACTGGTTGCCCTTGCCTATGTTGAAGTTGACTCCTAGAGCTACTGATATCTTAGAAATTTTAGGCATTTAGTTCTCACATGTAACAAATCCTCTGCATTCTTTGCCTTTCTCATCCGTGTTGTTATGGAGATAGCTTATGAACCACAATAGCTGCCCATCCTGAGTACCCACAAATTAACCATTTTATTGGCATATAAGTTAGCTATTGTGTTTGGTTATATGGTAGCTACTTAAGAGAAACTCCTGAAAATACATATTTGATGATTTTGTTGCACATGCTACTTGCCCCTTGATTTCGATCCCTTAAGTTTGGCGCGATAGTCATAAAACCTAATGTCTGAAATCCCAGGCTCTTTATGTAAGTTATACTCAATCAAATAGAACAGAAATTGCTTCAAAACTATTTCTGTGAGCCCCTTTCCATGTATTTTCAAAGAATAAAATAAAAAAGAAGTCCGCACGCTAAAAGATGTATACTTAATAATGTATCCAGAGTTTATAATTCTGGCAATGTGCTTGTCGACTTGCGTTGAGATGTGTTACCATGTAGTAACCTTGATTTCCAGTCGTTGATTGTGAAAAAGATTTCTTTTGGTTTCTAAAAAGGTGCTTCATCTGATTCTTAGGGCTTACCCCTGAGCAGCAACTAGGAAAATCTCAACTCGGTTACCTTCTAGATGCTTATGCTTAAACGAGAAAAGAAACATTTATTTGTCCCATAATTAAATGTGACCGCCAAATTGAACTATCACTATGCATCGATATTTCCAATAACTAAATCTTTCAACTCATCAAAAATCAAATCCCATGTAAAAATCAGTGACCAACTTCAAGATGTATTAACTTTTGCTGATGATTTCTGGCTCACACAGCTTGTTGAAACTTATAATTATTTCTCAAGAGATTCTTTAATTTGGTTGCCTTATCTGTGTTGCATGCTTATCTAACATAAACTGATGAAATAACCCACTTTGAACCAGTCCATGTATTGTCTGAAGCGAGTAACATGCTCAACAGTATGATCAAAACATGATATTTTTTATCATGGGGTGTCATCCCACAAAAATCTAGATATGATTATCTGAAGTATTCTCTGATGCTATCTGGTCATCTGCTGTTTGTGACTTTGTTCTTCTTGTTCTCTAATCTATCTGTTGGGACTTGGACTTGCCTCATTCACCAACAAGCATGGCATGATTTTCAGGATGGGGTTTTCATGAGGATGGATTGAAGGTATCCTCTATGACTTATCTTTACTTTGCATTTGTTTTGAAAAATTACTATTTATTGTGCATATTATTTGAGTATTCGAGAAAGAAGAGGGATTATTAATAACTCCTAGTAGAGCTGAAACTTTCCTTTTCTGTGAAAATGAAAACTCTTTGCATTTTGGCTACAAATTATTACCATTTTCTTGAATCCATATTATAGGCTGGCATGGTTGCTGCACATGGTGTACTGCAAGAGAAGTGTGTTCTTCTGCAAAACAAGAGACATATGGTACTTTCTTTGATGGAGCTAGGTGCACGGAGTGTTATTACTGAGTTCCTTAACCGTTTTATCTCTACAGGAAATTTATGGTTAGTGCATATGTTGTTTAAGTATCACTGTTGGTTATTTTCAATTTCTAGATGGGATAGCTTAAGCTTGCATTGATTATCATATATCATCTTTTCAAAGTCAACTAAGAACTATCACATATGGTTGGACGCTATGTTCCTTTGAACTTTGTTAGTTTATTGATATCATCTAATAAAGATCACACTATAGCTTGTTTGAAAAGTTCTAAAAATTGATTCTCCTTAGTGTTTCAACATGGTATCATCATAACCAGTGTGATGAATTAATAGGAAATTTATAGCAAAAAATGAAAAAAAAAAAAAAAATACACTCGTGCTCCTGCTCTCTTTATAAATTCTGAATGAAAAATCTTGCCATGCCTACTCTAAATGTTGATGAAAATTTTGGAGTGGAGTTTGACTTATTGCTATCACATCATCTTTTCAGTAAATAGAGTGAGTTTATTTTATATAATAAGTTATTCTAATTCAAAATTCCCATCGATAATCCCATGCATCATGTTGCTAAATATCATGTGTATGTTTCCCACAGCTTGCTAGAAGATGGAGGTACGGTTTTTTATTTTGAGGGGGCCAATAGGAAATGCTATCTCAAATCTGTGCTCAGAATCCATCATCCTTCATTCTATTGGAAGGTACAATGACCCTACACATAGATCTATCCATTATAAATTACCTTAGAAAATAGTTGATGATGAAGTTTGTATTATAGAGAAGTTCAAGTTTGTTAGCTTTGGTTTTAGGCCATTCCCGAATTGTACCAATGGTTATAACTGTTTACTTTAAATGTTATGATAGGTTGCCGCACAAGCTGATTTGGGGCTTGCAGATGCGTATATCAACGGGGATTTTTCTTTTGTTGATAAGGAAGAAGGGCTTTTGAATATGTTCCTGGTACTCAAATTATTTATTTAACAATAGTGTTTTTATCCTTTAGGTTCATTTCCTCTCTTCTATGGCTTATTTCTCCATGTGTGTAGATATTCATAGCTAACAGGGATATGATGAACTCTTCAAGGCAACAAGGAAACAAAAGGTATAAAGTGAATGTCAACAATATTCTCTCGTGGTAACTACCGACTGCAGTGCACAAGTTTGGTTTTTGAGAGAAAAATCATTTGTTCCAGGGGTTGGTGGACACCAGTGCTTTACACAGCGGGGCTCCAGTCTGCAAAATATTTTTTGCGGCATATTTCGAGGCAAAATACCCTCACACAATCTCGTAGAAACATCTCTCGGCATTATGATCTGGTCTGATCTATTCCAACGACATCCATATATTAATGGCTTTTTGTCTATATTTATTTTCTTTTTCATCAAGGATTAGAGTTCATTGCAAAAGGCTTCAAATTAATCAGGAAATAGTATGTCCTTCTGTATACCTTCTGTATATAAATCATTGACTAAATATTAACTACTTCATTAAAGGGTCCTTTGATATGAATCTTGTATGTTTTCTTCAGCTATATGGTCCTCCGTCATTGTTGATACCATATTTGCTATGCATCATATTCACCTTCCTATTCATTTCACTGTTTATGTAATCATGTTTAGTGTCAGAGCACATTTCTTGTAGCCTGATATTATGGAATTAAGACTACGTCACTCAATCTATTGGGCTTTTGTCTGTTTCTGTCTCTTGTTTGACTGGGTGCAGCCATATGCACTCTAGCTTCTTTGTCTTCTAAAGTGCCACAAATTGGTCTGAGAACTCTTAACAAGTGTTGCAGCTCTGGAAAGTTGCCCTAAAATTGAGGCCACAATGCAATTATGATTATTCAAATCAACATATATAACTGTAATGTATGTAGCATATAAAATAGAAAAAAATTCAGTTAACAAACATAACAATAATGTAAATACAATATTTTGGATGTTAAAACATAAAAATCTAATGGGAAATGGAGTTATTTATAGAGAGAAAAAACCCTTTAACTAGATTTGTTGTTCAACAACATTGAATACCTGTAGGCCAGCCAATCACCATTTCCTTAACACCAGACCCGTAGGTTAGCCTCAAGAATCGCCATGGCATCCATGACATCTTTTGTGACTTTCCCTGATTAATGAAGAGTGGGTTCAGATGCATGTGTAGTTTTATGAAGTTGATCTACCCAATTTGGTCAATCAGCTACAGTGAGGAATGGATGCAAACTTGTCTTTTATTAGTCCTATCTGAACTACTCTTTGACTCTATCTATAGCCTCCAAAAGCAGTAGAATGGGCCATATGAAGGTCTTGCCTTGTTATCTACTAGGAATAGGACTATGCAAGGGCTCAGTAGCATTTGAACATGTCATTCAATCTCTTGAAGCTAAGATTTGCCATTGGAGATTAGGGATATCATGATCAAAGGTATTCTAGAGAAGTCACATGATTTAGGAGGTACTCCAGAAACTTTTAAATGGTAGCTTCATCAAAATTCAGGAAATTCAAGAATATTACCTGCATTTCCTTTATATATAAAGAGATGGACAAGCTATTTGAAAGAAGATAGAGGCCTATCTAATTTACCTTTTTTCCTATTAAACATTATTATCTTTCATTCTGTTAAGAATAAAAAATAAACTAATCTAAATTCTAGGAAATTAACAGGTTTTCCATTTTGCTGATATGTTTCTAGAGTAATGACCTCTTTGCCCTGTTCTTGGACGAAACGATGACATATTCGTCAGCAATCTTCGAGGTTCGTTGCTAATTCTTACCACTTTTAAGCAATAGATATGTACATGTAGTTACAGTTACTGTGTTTCTTTATTACAATTCTGTGTGATTGTCTGCCTTACATTAGGAGCTTTTTGTGATTGCTAATTATCTTATTTGAACATATTGCAGCATGAGGATGAAGACTTGAAGGCTGCCCAATTACGAAAAATCTATCTCTTGATTGAAAAAGTAAGTCCAAATTCTATGATTCTTGTTTACTAGGTGATGCTGATTTCCTCAACAACACTTGCTCTGATTTCTCCATTTTTTGGCTTTAAGGCCAGGGTTGATAGCGATCATGAAATTCTGGAGATAGGTTGTGGGTGGGGAAGCCTAGCTTTGGAAGTCGTAAAACAAACTAGATGCAAATACACTGGCATCACTCTATCAGAAGAGCAACTGAAATATGCCCAAAGTAAAGTGAAAGAAGCTGGCCTTGAGGTGCTCATCTGCAAACTTTATTGCATTTTAATTTCTTTAGCGAGAAAGAATTTACTCAATCAATTGCTTCCATTATGCAGTGAGCAATTTTCACAGGTATTTATGAAAAAAAATAAAAAAAATCATTTTCTAACGGGGAATATACACTACAAATAGAGATAAGATACAATGACTTTATCTAAGATAAAGTTTTTATTCTCCAGAACATCCAGTATAGTTGGCAACTAAATTTAATCACATTATCTTAGTGATTGAAATAAGAAGTATCATCATCATGGCCAAAGCCTTTTCCCAACTAATTGGGGTCGGCTACATAAATCCTAGTCTGTTATTTTGCTCAACGGTCATACTCTCAGTGAGACCATAAGTCTCCATGTCTTTTTCTACAACTTCCAACCACATCTTTTTGCGCTTACCCCTTGCCTTTTTTGAGCCTTCCACTTGAAGTAACTCACACCTCCTAATAGGTGTTGTACTGGATCTGCACCACACATGGCCAGCCATCTAAGTCTACTTTCTCTCATCTTATTGCCTATTGGTGCTACATCTAAATGCTACCGAATGTATTCATTCGAATTCCATCCCTTATTGTCTTGCCACTCATCCATCTCAACGTCCTCATCTCAGCTACATTTTAGGTGACATTTTATCATGAACCATCACTAATCCTGAGTGAATATAAAGTACATCCGAGTAGAAAAAGAATATCATACAACTAAAATATGCTCTTTATGCACTTATCTCATATCAATTCAACTATTAATCATATTTTTTTTCAGGAACGCATCACTCTCCTCTTATGTGACTACCGCCAACTGCCTGCCTCTCACAAATATGATAGAATCATATCATGGTAGCTAATTTTTCACATAAAATGTCATTAAGATTCTCAAAGCATTCTTAAATGATTTTGCTACTGATGGGACTCATTTTAAAAAATGGCAACTGTGAACATTTTGCAGTGAAATGATTGAAGCCGTTGGCCACGAATACATTGAGGAGTTCTTGATGCGCTGTGATTCACATTTGGCTGAGAATGGCATCCTTGTGCTACAAGTAATAATTTTCTCAAAGGAATGTTAGCAAGTACTGCTGACTTTTTCTAGAAGTTATTTTGATTCTCAGGAAATGATTTCTCTTTCTTCTGTTATTTTTATTTTCTATTCATCCTTATGTGTTTTCTATTCCTTTTCCATTTAAGTAAGGATTAATCTAAGAGTTACTGGCAACTTGTGCTTGCCTCTATGTCTTCCACAGTTTATTTCGATACCAGATCAACGATATGATGAATATAGGAGAAGTTCTGATTTCATAAAGGAATATATTTTTCCTGGCGGATGTCTCCCTTCTTTCAGCAGATTGACTTCAGCCATGGCTGCTGTTTCAAAGCTTTGGTAAAGTTGATGAGAAATTCGTGCCGTTTTTTCCATTCTCATAACTGATCTGATATCTGAACTAATTGTGCAAATGCAGTGTGGAGCATGTAGAGAACATCGGCATACACTATTACCAGACTTTGATAAAATGGAGAGACAACTTCATGGCCAACAAAAGGTAAATGCTGGGACAATCAGAAACCGTATAATTAATCTCTTTTCTCGTTGAAACTAGAAGTAAAAATTTTGGTCAAATTTGATTTGACTAGCTTCTTTTCTGAATTCAAACTTATAATCCACAAGTAATTCAACCCTACGATGCATCAAGTCATTCCATTACTTTGACAGCATATGTATAATCATCAAAAGTGAAATTAAGCAAATGAAAAACAGGTGACATAGGCATCTCCTTAATTGTTCAAAGTTCAAACCTCACTCAGGTTGCTTGGTTTTCCAAGAAATGGCCAAACCTGACAATTGCTACATTGGTTTCTGTCTTCCAGTAAAATTATGGAACTTGGTTTCGATGAGAAATTCATAAGGACATGGGAATATTATTTTATATACTGTGCAGCAGGCTTCAAGTCATGTACACTAGAAGATTACCAGGTAAGATGTTAATGATGAGCCATTATTGTTTTCTTTTTAAATCAGTTCTATATTGTCCCATCCAATGGTGAGTTAGCTCAAAAAAAAATTAACAAGAAATGTCCTTAGCCGTGTGTTGTAAAAGGGGGGCTAGTGTCAGCAGAAGGCTTCCTTAGGGGTACACACCATAAAGGCCGTTCTCAAAACTCATATTTTGATGGATTGTTGACCCAAAAACCATTATGAATTCCTGAAGATCTGCTTTTAAAATGGATTTGGAGCTCCAAGAAATGCTGCAGATATAACATCCACTGAAGTGGACAGTGTGGATGACATATTGAGATAACATTCAAGACAAAGCAATTTTAGTACTCCAAATCCATTTTTCGAGATCTCGATATTGGGGGTCACTAAGATGGATTTGCATATTTAAAATAATATGGGAAGATATGAGGGAGAATACACTTTCTTTGCTGAAGCCCATGCGTCACCAATTACTTTATAAGCACGTGCTTTCTTTGTCATGCAGGTTGTATTCTCACGCCCCGGCAATGTCAATGCATTCGGGAATCCATACAAAACGAGTACTGCTTTCACCAATTAATCTCTCTTCATTTCACTCTGAAATTCAAATGTAAGTGCTACAGTTATTTGTTTTGAATTCATTCAAATTTTTGGGAAAGAATAAAAATGCCAAGCTTGAGGCCTGAACAAGGGCAGCAAAATCTTTTCCCTATTGAATTTAGAGTACATGTAAACATTTTATATCGATAATAAAATTATTCATCAAAATTTCATGTGTTTTGGTATTTTGCCATTTTGTTTAATATTTGAAGACACTGTTAACTAGTGTTACATGGTGTCGATGAGTGTCGCAAATGTCTATACATGAGCCTCAAAGGCCGATACAACTTGATACTTCCATACATTTATTTTTTATAAATAAATATTATATTTTATGGTGTTTAATATAGTTTCTCTTTTATAAAACGAAATTAAGTGTAATTAGTGGCAGTGGAACGAGCTAATTTGAGTACCCATATGTGTCCCCATTTTATTTTATTTTTTATTTTATTTTATTATTTTTTTTTTTTTATATACATGACGAATGTCCAAATGTTAACACATGTCGAGATGTCAATACATGACACGAGGATAAAGTCCACATGTTGCAGTAACACTGCTCATAACTTCTCTCTACTAGGACCACAACACTGTTAACTGCCAAAACACGCCTGCCAATAAGTTGGCAGCCGATCTTGATAGTAATCTAAGAACCCAACCAAGATAATCCATTTCGATGGAAACGCAGTTCGTTGACTATAATCTCAGAATGAATTTGAATAAGACCGTCAGATTGCCTATCCAACATTTTACAAAGGTACATGCCTGTCTATCCCCTCCCAATCAAGGAAACACTGCCAATCAAGGAAACACTGCCAAAATCATCCTTCTCACTTGTTTCTAAAGAACTCCATATTTCATTTTAAGTTATTAGACAATCCAAACGTGGGCCTTATGCCCGGTTTAAACAGTGATAGAGCATTTTTTTCTTCACCCATCTTTTTTTTTTTTTTTTTTTTCGAATGTTCTTTTTTCTCCACCCATTTAGGAGTTAAAAACTGTTTTTTCCTTCACCCGTCTGTTTTTTTTTTTTTCCCGCCCGTTTAGAAGTTAAAAACAGCTTGCTGAATCCACCCTTATATTCATGAATAATGGATTTTTGGAATCTTGCTTCAGAAGAAGGCCCCAAAATGCTCACAACCATCCATACGCTTTCTCCATTAGTGAATGATTCCATCCTATAAGTGACCTATCGGACCATCCAACTACCCCTGTATTTATTTAGGTCATGATTTATTTGTTAAAAAACACATTAAACCCTCCAGACTTGGTTTTGGTAAAGAGTGTTAATGATTGATAAACTGCGTCCTAAATTCAATTCCTACAGCTAAACCCAAAAAATATATACAAACCAAATGTAAGAAACCACATTTCTGCTGTGCACATGAAACCGTATACCCCATTTTTTGTTTTCTTCTACACCTAATAAGAGATTTAACAATGAGAAAGGCATAAGAGTTGGAAACATCTTTCTACTATAGACATTATCAAAGACACGGTTCAAAAACAGACACAAAGAAGGTTTGAGTATCAGTCCCTTTAAACAGGCTTGGAAGATTCATTTGCGCAATAGCAAAGATTTAGAAAAATTGAGTGGGCTTCCATTCTACTTGGAAAATGCATGTGGCAAATAGGTGTAATGGCATATTTGCATACCAAAATGGCTGGCTTTCCTGAGGCAAATACGTGTAGTGGCATATTAGCCGACCCCAATTTACAAGGAAAAAGCTAAAATGATAAAATGATGCCATGTTTTCATGTGCAGCAAAGCTTCAAAAAATCCGGAACTACGGATAATAAAAGCCTAGGTTGTTTTTGTAAACGCTATTATTCTGAAAATCTCACTGGACCCTACCTAATGTCGTCCAAAATCACACTCCCCATTGAAATGAATAAATGCCATATTTGACAGCACTTATTTTGAGATTAACATATCTGACAGGTCTGACGCTAGAACATATCAATGTACACGCACCATGACCATACTTCAAAGACCCAAACAATTCTACCAATTAGATTATTAAAGAAATTACCACCTGAAACCAGCTCACGCATTAAAATGCACACCCATGTTTGAGTTTCCTTATACTTAAAACTCAAAATAATATCCAGCAATAACTTTTTTAAAAAAAATATAATAGTACATTTTTAGTTTTTGGGCACAATCAATTGTAAGCAGATGGTGCAAATGCCAAGGGCCGGAACCCAACAGCTGCATCTCTAGTACACTAAAATCGAACCCCATTTATAATCAGTAATGACCAATCTTATTTCTTGAATCAGTGATGGGATATATGCTTTTAAAGTTTTAATGAAAGGACATGATCAATGCCCAGGTCACTCAATCATCAATTGAAACCAAATTCAGCATTACTCAACAATAACATAAAAAAAAAAAAGGGGTCCAAACTCGAGAACAAAATTTGGTATCCAACCAAAGTAAATACCTCCCATAAAATAAGAATAAATAAAAACAAAAAACAAACACAAAAGGCCTCTCCAATTTGCACCCAAAAATTTTGCAGTGTACTCGACCAAAATGACAACCCCCAAATCAAGCCGGCTCTCCCAGAAATGAAAATAAAAAATTAGCAGCCTCAGCCCGCATGTCAGTGAAGCAATTCATCGTCACAAAACTTTTTCGCAGCTCGTAATCCCAGGATCAAGTTTTTACCTCCCCCAAACAGTGGACTGAATCAGAGTACCTGCCGCTCTCTCTTTCCATGCTTTTGAACCGGCAGGGAGAAGACATCTGATTCTTGGTTAAGAGTGAGAGAAAGAGAGAGAGAATAGGAGCAGCATCTCCTGTTCAAAACAAGGGAAAATAGGAGGAAAAAACCAATTATGCCATTGACAAATTAGCTCAAGAAATTTTACCCTAGTGCTTCGATTATTCAAGCCGAGTCTAATATCTCCATCCATTAACATGCCTCTATAACATAACTCAAGACTACTGCTATTTTACTTAATCTCCATATATTAATCACCAAATAAGCTGCCAAACATGAAACCCATATGCTTAAATAATCTAAGCAAGCATTCACTCAGAGCTAAAGGGTTTAAGCTAATCAACTCTGGCTTTAACCACTACAATAGAAGCTGAAATATCTGAATATAAGCTATATCACTAGCAAATCACACAACCGAACACAATACGAACTACCAAAGACACTGAATAAGCTACAAGCTTCAAAGTATCACTAACTAGAAACTACTCTCGGAAACTACCGATTTATATACTAGCAAAGAAGCTATAGAACTTTCTAAGTTTCTTAAAAGCTACGAGGAAATTCAAAAGCAATCCAACCAGTCCGCTTCGATCGCAAAGAGGCCCATCTCGAGACCGTGAATCAAAACCACGCAAAGTAGCAAGACACTGAAGAAGCTGAGCCTCCTCCACTCACTGTTGCTGAACCTGCCTTGTTTGAGCACCATAACCACCATACCCAACCTGAGAACTGGGAGGCCCATTGGCTTGAGGGACCCCATAGCCTTGAGCACCACCTTGAGAAGAAGCATCAGACCTCCAAAACCCCGCATTCCCATTCGAATCACCATATCCACTTCCCATATAGCCTCCACCACCTTGCTCACCACTAGCTACACCACCTGCACTTCCACCCGAAACACCAGTCCCACTCGATACACCACCCCCACGACCACCAACAGCACCATAGCCTGCTGCCCCACCATACGCCCCATCACCCCCACCATAACCACCATACCCACCATAACCTGGATTTGCATAGCTAGCATGTCCACTAGGAGACTGACCTGTGGGCCCTGCCACACCACCCCCAGCACCAGTGGGACCCACACCAGGGGCCCCACCACCCCAAGAACCCGCACCATAACCAGTGGGGCCACCTTGCATGCCGTAGCCAGATGGAGCTTGGTTATTCCATGGGCTCCTGGGTGCACCAGGTGGGTAGGCCCCACCACTAGGTGCACTAGCATTCCCGTAACCACCACCCGGCCCACCATAACCTCCACTCGGCGCATTGGGGTTTCCATACCCATAACCACCATAACCCACGGTCCCATTGTTCGCTGCTCCATATCCATAACTTGGTGCTCCATAGCCTGAAGATCCGTAGGGTGGGTACCCGGCTCCACCAGCCGGAGGTTGAACATATCGATTCCCATCCATCCTTGACTCATAGGTATTCGGGTTGGCTTGGTAGGCCCCCGCACCCCCCATGTTGCGACCCCCGCCACCAGGGTTGGCATCTTTAGGTAGGGCTCTCTTGACCTCAACATACTTTCCATTAAGGTCATGGAAATTGGATTTTTGTAGGACTCGGTCCACTGCATCCTCAGAGTCAAAGGAGATGAAGCCAAAGCCACGAGGCCTTTGGGTGTTTTGGTCATACATTACTACAACATCTGTTACATTGCCAAATTGCTCGAAGTATTGGCGGAAGCCCTCCTCAGTTAGGGTGGGAGGAAGCCCACCAACAAATATTTTCTTGGTCCTCACATTGCTGCCAGCGGCAGCCCCAGACCCAGCCCCGAAGTTTCTAGCAGAGTTAGGGTTTCCGGACCTGGCAGCATTGTGTTGTTCCTCTCTTGATAGAGCCCTCTTGGCCTCCACCTGAAATAAAGAAGTGCACTTAGAGGCAAGAATTTGGCAGCTGTATATGAAATTAGAGAAATTTTATGGTAAGATTAAAAACATGCATCTCATGAGAGGTGGGCTTCATGAAGAAAATAAAGATCATAAAGAATACAGAGAAGTAACTACTTCCCAAGGCATAATGAAACATACAAAGCTCAACACTGGGAAATGTTTTCTTTGTTGTTGATTGGGCAGCAAATAGCTTTAAACGAAGTAACAAAAGACCATCTGATATATGAGACTTACCAGCTCATAGAACACTGTGGCACTAATTGCAATTTCTTATCCACGAGGAAAAAATGGATAATCATTTCATTATTTGGGATGAAAGCCAAAAACATTCCTTCTGCTGATTACTCAGGACATTCATTTGTTACATAATTGCAAGTTTGAAACAAATGAAAATAAAGTAGCATATGAGAGAAATCTCTTGGAATTCAAGCACCCTAAATATACCTTATGCTGATCGGCCACAAGAATTTTATATATGCTTCAGACTGGAATTTTAAGTACAGATCAACAACACAAGGAGCCCTCAGGGAACATCCAAGTGACTTAGGTTAGCATGTAAAACTATGGTATTATAGATCCATCATTTTCAAAATAAAAAAGATATATAACAGTATTTCACATTACAGACCTGTTTTATTCATGTTATAAACCAATCAGCTTAAATTATGAAATATAGGTCAGCAAAATAGCAGTGTCTACACACCAATAAAATAAAAGAGCAACATCTACGCCACCTTTTCATGATAGGCATACTTTAATCTCCGAGGGTTTAAACTTTAAACAGCCAAATATCACACTAAAACCTAGAATATTACCACCCTTTCTTCAAACTTCTGAGAAAGAGATGACTGGCTAGAATTGTTCAACTAAAAAAATTTAACCGGTTGTTGTGCACAACACACTAGACGAAAACCCAACTCAGAAAATAGAGAAACTCAGACATATAAACAAACACAATGAACAATGAGTTTTCTCACTGTAAACAAGGCAGTATTAAAGACTAGGACTCAACTCACTATGGTCCCGATCCCAAGTCAGCAGCCTGGCTCGCTCAATTCTCACCAAGACTTGGCCAAGTCACCAGGGAAAATAACACATGGGGGAAATGTTATCATATTTTCTTTAGAGGCTTCTTCAGTTTGGCTGGGAAAGGGAAGCACTTTGGTGCGTTGGCTGATTAGGGGAGGACTGCAGGTTTTATTTATTTCAATAATTAAAAAAATAAAAATAGAAAAACGAAGATTAAGAAAAATAAAAAACTGAAATTGACTTTGTTTGTTCCTAAATTAGTTCGCATTCACATGCATATAGTTTTATAAATAACTGAGCCTATCGAATGGTTCCCACTTTCCAATATCAAATGCTCGTTAAAAAATATCTACATTTTCCAATATATTCCAAATATTTGAAAATTGATCGGCATCAATGTAGGTGCTCTCGGCCCTAGTCAGGCTCGGTCGAAGAGAATCTCCTTGGTTTCTTCAGCCAAATCTCACGGAAAATCCTAAAGCATCCCAAATCACCCTAAACCTTCTTTTGAGATTCAATTCACTTCAATTTGAATGCAAAACCCGAAGACTTAAGCGGACGAGGCCAAAGCAAATGGAATCAGATAACATTTCAGTAGGGTCCCTGACCCTGTGAGACTTGGAGAGTCTGAGAATAAGTCACTGAGTTTCGAACACTGCTAGAAGGAACACAACTTTCGATTATCCTGATAAAAGACCACAAGTACATTTTAGACCCTCACTTTATAAGTATCTCCAAATATCTGAGGTACTAATCCTTTCCAAACATAATAACATATTTGTTTACAAACATAAAGAGAAGCCTTCATATAATTCATATAATCTGCACAAGTACATGGTAAAAATCATCATATTCCAAATGGGTAGGTTTGACGTGCATATATGATATTTGTAACATAAAATCCCATATATGATGTAGGACCAAGGAAACCTGGCTCCTATTATTTGAAAACTTGACAACTTCAGCACAATCACGCCAAAGTCACTTAGACTTTGTAGAATGCCAAACCCATTTACAAACCTCAAGAACTGGCTGAGTTGCATCAGTTCTTAAGGTAATTGTGCAAGTATTTTATAGACTTCACTAACTCTTTATGACTCAGCAACTGAACCAGCAGACTCAAGCTCAGGCCCTACTCAATTCCAAGCCCGAGTTGTTTCCAATCACTGATTCCTACACTAGTGTGATATGCAAGGTGGGATTAGAAAGAAAGGAATTGGGCAGGTTGAGGAGATCTAATAAACATTTAGGACTTTTGAAGGGTTTAGGTTTCTTACAAAATTTTGGGCAGCAAGGTTAGGAATGTATTAAGTTCTCCTAAGTTAAGTAGAAGCAGATGACAAGGACACATAATTGAATTAGGACTTGGGCTAGACCTCTATGGAATGTTATCAATTATTAGTTCTGGTAAGGGTATCAAAGTAGGAACACTTCACTGGAAGTTAGAAGTCCAGCAAGATAAAATGGTGGTCTCCAAGGAAATCTAGGATTCTAGACTTTAAATTAGAATCAAAGGCTACAAAGGCGTAATTATATGGTTAGGGTATCCATTCAGCCAGTTTACCGCGGGTTAGAAAAGGAATTGCGAAGTTTATGGAAGGGTTTGAATCGACAATGAATTTGTTTGTGGGGAATCTTAGAAGGGGATGTGCCGCACAAGACGGTAAAGAACAAGGGGCACAAGCTAACTTGGTTCGTTCAAGAGAAACTCAAATCCACAAGCTATGGTTTTGAGGAAAATCTCCACTAAGAGAAGAAGAGGAGATTTAACATTTTTGAATACTCTCCCAATCCTAGGATAAAGATGTGGAATCACTCAATATACACACAGACACACACAAAAACGAAAAATAAAAACCATTTGGGGGGTGGGGGTTTGTAGGCTTAAGGAATATCAACCCTAAAGATGGTTCTCACTACAACTGAAAATCCAAACTCACAACAATTGGAACCCAACTTTTACCCAACTCGAACATGAGCTCCACAAAGGTTTACACAAGTATTTAAACATTCAAACCCCTTAATTTGACTTAGCTTGGGATTCAAGCCAATCTTAACTTTCCCAATTTCCACAGATCCAAGCTTCTTCTACAATTAGGTAATTTTGGCACCTTTAGAGTTTAAGAAAGTAGGCACAAAATATGTAAGATACCGCATATTAGACCCATCCAGCAAAATAGAAAACTATCTTTTCTTGCAATTCTGGAAAAAGGATAGAACTTAAGAACAACTCCAGCTTTCTTTATCAAATTAAACATAAATCTAATTAGTCTTGAATTTTCAGCAAAATACCTCAACAGGATTTCGCCCATATTTTGGCACCCAAGATGCCTGAATTAAGGAAAAATCCTTAGAGATAAGGGACATAGATCTTAATGAGATATATCATTCAAGATTTGAATCATCCCAAGCTATGCCTCCAGAAAGAGGTCCACATAAATATACAAACTAAAGTTCCACTATCCGGTGATCACAAACAAAAGAGAAGCCTAGGATTTTGCCAATAATATTCACCACGTAAGATAATGCACCATAGATTAATAATAATCAATAAAATTAAAAATTAAATTTCAACTCATTACAATGAAAAACATTCCTAAACATAAGAGACTACTTCCTTGGCAAAAATGAATTCGAATTCTATAATGATCACATAGGGACCATTAATGAACAATGTGCTACCAAAATGGAGAAGAAAAAACTTCATGAACAAGAAGAACCAGATTAACACATATAGCTTTGAAAATATATATGATTACAATAATCATCTTAAAGTAAATCCTAATTTACCAACATTGGCGTTTGTCATGTATAATCAACTAATGGAACACAGTAACCAAGTCGGAAAAAAATCAACAGCCCTCTCAGGAGATTTCATAATCATGGTTTCAAAGCTATAATTTCGCAGCGAGACTTCTCACAGATTTACATGAAGTGATAATGATACCTCCACTATCTCACCACCAGCTCACACGCAATTGAAAAAACTAGTAAGCAAACCTCAACAACCATTTAACTAGAGTAAGATATTCCTATGGTTTCCGCCCTTTCAATACTAGAACAAGATCAAAACATAAAACAGTAACACAACAACCAGGTATAGAATCTAAGCATTACAATATTGCATTCATAATTAAAACGCTATTATAAAAGAATTTCCCATGATTTATCATCAAAACAATATTTTCCCCCAAGTTCACAAATATAACTCGTAGCCTAAATCCCATTGATGTTACATCATAAAGTAACAAATCTGGGTGAGAAAAAGGATCACTTTTTAAGTAAAATAACCATGCGCAACAGAAACCCTAAAGTTATTATACAAATAATCAAATAGCTCATAACATTAGGTCAAGCAGGTAATAAAAACATAATTTTTAATAATAAATGAAAAAGTCCTGAAAGAAGTTGCAGTAATGATGCAAAACACAGTATTTCAGCAAAAAATAATCAAAGGCCATAAAGTATCTTGATATGAACTAAAAATCACATCCTGAATAGAAATAAATCCAACAAATAATCAATAAAATGAAAATAAGAAACTCGAGTTAGCATGACAAATCTAGGTTTCCATCAAAAATAGAGAAACCCACATAGAATCCAACAAAAAAACCAATAAACACATCATATTCGCCATCCAAAACTAAAAGACCTGATACCATCCAATACAATAAACGGAAACTCATAAAACACAGATTTAGGGTTTTGGATCGAAAATATTACAGTTCTCCCATCGATTGTGTGCTTATCTTGAAGAACCCTATCGAGAACCGAAGGATCTGTAAAAACAACGAACCCGAAACCCCTAGGCCTTCCTGTGATCTTATCTCTCATGATAACAGTTTGTGAAACCTCTCCATATTTGCCGAAATAATCCTTCAATTTATCCTCTGAAGTTTCCCATGAAATCCCCCCAATAAAGAGCTTCCCTTGATCTGAATCCATGGCTTCTCGTTAGAGGATAGCAGGGATTTTTTTGCCCCCTTTTCTTTGTTTTGGGGGTTAGAATACAGAGAGAGAGAGAGAGAACGAGAGCAATAATAAGGGTTTGCGTGATAAAAGATTATGTAGTGAGAGAAGGCGTGCGGAAGAGATAGGAGGATGGACGGACGCGATATAGAGAGAGAATCAAGGATTAGAAAGAGAGAGAATAAGGGTTTTGCCGACCCAAGCGAGTTTAGAGAGAGAGATGTAACAAATTGGCTAGAGAGAGGGAGAGCGGGATCTACTGTGACAAAGTGATGGACGGTGAAGATGGGCAACGGGATGATAATGAACGGTGACAAATTGACATAGGGTTTTGCTAAAAGTAGGTTTTTTTTTTTTTAGTCTTCTATAGTACAAGGCCCAAATTCACTCTATTGCACAAGACCATTGAAGTGGGAAAGTTTCTTTTTGTATTAAATACCCAAAAAAAGTTTTTTTTTTTTTAAAAAATATCTTTTTATTTTTATTTTTTTGATATTTAAAAATTAAAAATATTACTTGTAAATCTTCCACCCCTTGACTTTTTTTATCATAAATTTTTTATTCAAACAAATACCAAAATAACACCCTATCCAAACTTATCTTTCTATCTAAAACTCCATCCCCCACTCTACTACTAAAATTATATCTTTTCACTTCAATTACATTTCGATGTAATTAACTTGGCAGAGTGAATTTGACCTTTTGTCCCTTTTAATGACAATATTTTCTATTTATACGTTGATTTTTTACTACCATTATAGATTGTTTTGTGACATCGTCACATTTCTCCCTCTCAAACGCCATTTGCAACCAAGCTTTCTCTCTCTAAAATCCACGCGCAACCACTTTTCTTTTCTCTCTCTACTAATACCTTAATGGACCAGAGTTTCTCTCTCTATTTCTCCACTAATTTCTTAACCTTCTCTAGGAACTAAAGTTGCAAGCCTCTCACTTTCTTTATCTTGATTTCATATTTCTTCAACTTCTTTTTAAACCCCATTTTTTCTTTACCAGAAGTTGTAGGTTTATCTCTCCAAACCCACAGCTTTCTTCATCTTCTCTCTTACTAAAAACACCCATACAATTGCAACGTCTCCCCCCTCTCTCTCTCTCTAAGTCTGTTCCTCATTCCTCTCTCTAAACGCCCCTTGATTCGATTAAGTTGTAGATCTCTCCATCCTTTTCTCTCTCTAAAACCTACATTCGATGCAATTTGCATCTCTTTGGAAAAGACTCTTCTTTCTGCTCAAGTTGCATCTCTCTCTCTAAACCCCATGCTACATAACCAAATCCTCTCTCTCTAAAACCTAAGTTGCAAAACCAGAGCACCCATGGCATCCACCCCTGGGGACTCCTTCGACTCATCTCTCTACCCTCGTGCCCTCTTCTCTCTCTACCTCATCTACCCCCTCACCGTCCTCCCCCCTTCGACTCATCTCTCTACCCTCGTGCCCTCTTCTCTCTCTACCTCATCTGCCCCTCATCGTCCTTCCCCCTCCCCCCCTCCCTTCCCCCTCTGACCTTGTTCTTAATGGAAAGCCCCACCCTCTTGTTAACCCTAATCCTGCTACCCCAAGACCGCCATTTCCACAACCCACAAACCCTAGCCCTAATTTCTCCTTTCCTCTACCATTACCTGTACCGCATCTACATCTTCCCCCTCCACCTCCTCCACTGCCAAAAAATTTTAATTGCAAGCCAAAAACCACGTTGTTTTCCCTTACGTCAAGAAAGAGATGGCGTTTGGATAATGTGTTATTTTAGTGTTTGTTTGGATCAAAAATTTATTATTAAAAGGATCCAGGAAGTTGTAAGATAAAAAAAATGGAGACATTTTGTTTACGAGTAATATTTTCAATTCTTGAATCATCTGATATGGAAGTTAAAAATAAAGGACAAGGGAATATTTTTACTTCTTTTTATCTAACACTACAACAACTTTATTAGGGTTCATTTTATAGCCCCTCCTCTCCCACCATTTTATTTTTATAACTTCGACAAATCTTTCTACATAGCAATAGGTCAAAGGGAATTTATATATCACTCTCTCTCAGTCGCGGATTTGAATGAATTTCTAGATACCTTTAGTCATAATATCACAAGTAAGCATTGACCATTTGATCTAGATCTAACAGCTTAGAATATTTTATTTTTATTTTTTTTCTACAAATCAAATTAACATGAAAGTTTGTGCATGTGATCATCTTAAAGGGGTGCAGCTAAAAAGAATGTTAAAAAAATATTTTCGAAAACTAAAATTACCAAACTACCTCTAAAACTTTCAAGAGTATTTTGGTCATTTTATTTTTTAAAATATATTTTCTATATTTTTATAGGTGCGAGCAATTAAAGGATTGGACACTCTAAATTTATTGTCAGTATGTTATGTAGAAAAAATTTAAAATTTAAAATTAAAATAGTGGTTAGGTGTGACATTGTAATTAGGGTTGTCTCAACCATCTATTCAAATCACACGGCTAGAAAAGGGGTGGCATAGGTAGATTTTCATACCTAGTGAAATATAGAAAGCTTTCATGTAACTTTTTGGCAATAAAACTTCCCAAATTCGGTTTTATATGTACCCCTCAAGTATGAATTTAGCGGAATATGATGAAAATTACAAAATAGAATATGATGAAAATTACAAAATATCTGAACTTTTTTATACATTATGCCTATACTTAAAACTATTTTTTTCCCTTCTTTAAATTTATAATAAAACATCCCTCTCTATTAGACTCGATGACTTGTTTGATAATAGAAAACAAGTTCCTGTAAGTTGGAAGTTCTTAAAAAACTGTAAATTAGAAGTTACTTAAGAAATTCATGGTTTCTGTATTTGATAACCTCTATGGGAAGTTAAGAAGTTCATAGTTTATGTGTTTGATAACTCTTAGGATATATGGTAAATATCTTATATTTATATTTACATAGATAATAATTTAAATATAAATATATAATATTTATAA